TCATTGTAGTGTCTTGTTTAATGTATGACTGGCAGTGAGTCCCATTTTCTTTTGTAGTTTACAAATAGTGATGATTTCATTTGGAGGGCTGATGAAACCCTGAAATATTCTGATGTATAGAGACAAATATTAAATAACTGGAATGGTTGTTTAATTTTGATGTACTTAAGTTTCACAGATGGACTGTTTAAATAGTATGACTCTGATTTCAGCCATAGCTGTTGGCAACACACACTGATTATAATATTTCCCCCGACAGACGGCTACTTGCCAACCTTTATAAGGATGTTACAGGTACATTGCAGGTGAAACGTGAACCTGGGGCTAATTTTTTACTATAAAACTAAAACTGAGTTAATGCCAAGGAAATGTGTATACAGTTTGAATTTCAAGCATAAAATAACGAAGGAGCGGCTTCACAATAACTCCGTGACTGTTCTTGAATGGTCCAGCCAGAGCCCTGACTTAAACCCCATTGAGCATCTCTGGAGAGACCTGAAAATGGCTGTCCACCAAGGTTTACCATCCAACCTGACAGAACTGGAGAGGATCTGCAAGGAGGAATGGCAGAGTATCCCCAAATGCAGGTGTGAAAAACTTGTTGCATCATTCCCAAAAAGACTCATGGCTGTATTAGCTCAAAAGGGTGCTTCTACTAAATACTGAGCAAAGGGTCTGAATACTTATGACCATGTGATATTTCAGTTTTTCTTTTTTAATAAATCTGCAAAAATGTCAAACATTCTGTGTTTTTCTGTCAATATGGGGTGCTGTGTGTACATTAATGAGGAAAAAAATGAACTTAAATGATTTTAGCATATGGCTGCAATATAACAAAGAGTGAAAAATTTAAGGGGGTCTGAATACTTTCCGTACCCACTGTATATTTTAGAACCCTGGCAGTAAATGTCCGGTTTGGAAGAGGTCACCTGATTAACAGGAGGGGAAAACACTTCTGTTGCTGATTCATTTCATCATTCACTAGGGAATGTATCCCCTAATAACACTCAGTCGATTAATCTGATTGATTTGTGTTTGCACCCTGTTTTACTTACCCTTCTTATCACAGCACAGGAAATACATTCCAAATTTTTTTTGTAAATGACTAATTAATGCTAATGTTTGCTGCTCTACCACATTATTTTTGTTCCGAGTTCAACAACTTTGCTTCTGTGTTGTCTGCGAGCAGAAAGAGAGTGCATTTTCCACTCCAGTGGCTATTAAAGAGCTTTGTCAGCATGTTTCCTTGCTGCTAGGATATCAGAGCTCTAATATGACTACTGGCATCTCATCCTTCCTCCCAGAAACAGTAATTGGTTTGGTGGTGACTAATCTGAAGGTTAGTTATGTGAATCCACACAGAGTCGGCCCTTCTCAAAAGCGCTCTTATCTATCGCCCAGAAAAGAAGCTCAGAGACGGAGCGGGAGAAGGAGCCGGAGCTGGAGGATGACCGTCCTGCTGTAGCATTATTTTCAGGGGATTTGGCATGAGAGGGGGTGAGGGGGAAATGTGAAGGGCAATGATGAAGCAGACAGAAATGTAAAAGTGTCAGGCAGCTTTCAGGAGCTTGAAGCTTGTGTTTATTAAGAGCCCTGGGGGTCAACACCCTCTGCATTTGTCCCAAACTTAAAGGGAAAGTCAACATGAACTTATTTCTGTGCTGGTTATTGTATGACAGTTTTCCACTGCACAGCTTGTTTGAGTTCTGTGGGCCCTCTTCAGACCCAGTGACAGACTGAGACACCAGGGTCCCAGGCTCAGACATGTCAAAGGTCACCCGGCCCTCATAGACTGAAGGGGGTGATAAAAGGCCACAGACAGCGCAGGATTGGTGTCTGTAGTCAGAGTCCTACTGGTAGTTTGACATCTCCTTGTGGTCAATTGAACTGTTTTAGTAATGTCTTTGTGGTCGCCCTTCGTCTCTCTGGCTGCTTCGTGGGAGTCATGTCCTTCATGTTCATTTTGTATCTCGTAATAGCTGTCTGTGGTAGGGCTGGACCATGAACCGAATTCTGTTTTCAATTACAGTTTGGTTTGCAATGATTATGAGTGATTGTTGTAATTCTTAAACTGTGGTGCAGTCGGGGGGGTATGATGCAGTGTCTCACACTCGTGTCTCTGAGTTGTCTCAGATAGATGGGAGTTTATGAGGAGTGGCCTTGACCTGTAGCAGCCAAGACAAATACACACAAACTCTCCCATCAGAAACAAGTCTGGGCTGTGGAAATATTCTGGATTCAAAAAGATGCACACAACAGGAAGTGTGAATGTTATGTTTTAAATTAAACTCCTGCTGCAGTGTAGGAACTATCTTAATTTCCAGAATATAAGCTGCTACTTTCTTCTCTTCATGCACACACCTTCATCATGGAAAACATGATGAAATGCATATGATGCAGCTTTCAAGTTAAAGGCGATCGATCTGGCTGTCGAAATATCTCATGTTACAACGTGGACACCTGTAGCTATGTACAAACTGTTTTTTTGTTTTAGTGGGTGCGGCTTATATTCAGGTGCGCTCAATAGTCCGGAAATTACGGTATGCATTTTCCAGCTTTTTTTCTAAGGCTGTACCCGACTTATGATTTTGTCAGTCAGCTCTTCAGTGCGACTGTTCCACTATTCCTTCCTTTTCTTTCTTTCTTTTTAAAATATCTTTATAGCCCAGACTGTCAGAAAAGCAACTGGCATGAATATCACTGATGATTTTGACCACATTAACATCTGTGTTTAAGTGCAAAAGGGTGACAGGATGATATTTCTGAGCATGTAAAAATCAATGAAAGACAGCTGTATGTGATGCACTATTTAAACTGGCAGTACATAACGTTGGGCTGCCACATGGATTTGTCAGAATAATGACACAGGAGACTTGGATTTCTGTTGGAACAATGCTCCTATAGGCAGGTTTTTTTTCTGACACATGGTTATGGCTGACTTTACCAACAGGTTGACCGTTTGTGTGCTGCCTGGGACTGCCAGAGATTCCTCTCATTTACAGTTCCTCACATTTTTGTTAGCTTCCTGATGGCTTTTGTTGTCCTTTTTCTAAATAGAGTCAGCCTTAATGTACATCCATGTATCAGACCATGTCACCATGGAAGTGGGTTTTGATCGAAGACAGGCTGTCAGACACCAACGTGTAATCTATCATATCCCTCGTTAGAGATGTCCTGATATGATACCAAGTATCGGTGTTGGTACAGATCTATGCATTTTTCAGTATTGGTCAGAATGAAGCTGATCCATATATAAAACTACAGTCCTGTATTTGAGCAGAGTCACTCACCCTTTTGAGACGTGAATCACTCACTGGCACCAGTCAGCTGGCTTATCACTGGCCTAAAGGGTTCGTACCTGTGTAGATGGAACCTACTGTAACAGCATCCTGTTGATGCAGAACTATGGGAATCATCTCAGTGTAGCATCTTTCCTCACAGGACAACAGCCAGGTGAAGGTGGCACCGTTCTCTACACTGTGCACTCAGGCCCTGTAGATTCAGTCTTACTGATGGGTTTCTCTGAATCCTCATGAAAACCAAGCTACTCATGCAGTGAGACAGTCTAGCTCAGTTTCTGACCATCACCCATGCAGTTCAGGTCTTCCTTTTTTAAGTTCCTGGGTGACTGAGCTCCTCACCCTATCTCTGAGGGTGCGCCTGGCCGCCCTGCGGAGAAAGCTCATTTCGGCCGCCTGTATCCAGGATCTTGCCCTTTCGGTCATTACCCAAAGTTCATGACCATAGGTGCGAGTCGGAACGTAGATTGACCAGTAAATCAAGAGCTTCGCCTTACAGCTCAGCTCCTTCTTCACTACAACAGACTGGTACATCGACCGCATTACTGCAGAAGCTGCACCAATCCGCCTGTCAATCTCCTGTTCCATCCTTCCCTCACTCGTGAACACGACCCCAAGATACTTAAACTCCACCACTTGAGGCAGGAGTTCTCCACCAACCTGAAGGGAACAAGCCACCCTTTAATGAACTGAGAACCATGGCCTCGGACTTGGAGATGCTGGTTCTTATCCCAGCTGCTTCACACTCAGCTGCAAACCGTCCCAGTGCACACTGAAGGTCCTGGATTGATGGAGCCAACAGGACAACATCATCTGCAAAAGGCAGAGATGAGATCCTGTGGTCCCCAAACCGGACTGCCTCCGGCCCCTGGCTGCGCCTAGAAATTCTGTCCATAAAAATGATGAACAGAACCGGTGACAAAGGGCAGCCCTGCCGGAGTCCAACATGCACTGGAAACAAGTCTGACTTACTGCCGGCGATGCGAACCAAGCTCCTGCTTCGGTCGTACAGGGACCGGACGGCCCTTAGCAAAGGACCCCAGACCCCGTACTCCCGGAGCACCCCCTGAAGAGGGTATAGAGCTGGTCCAGTGTTCCGCGGCCAGGACAAAACTCGCATTGCTCCTCCTGAATCCGAGGTTCGACTATCGGTTGAATTCTCCTCTCCAGTACCCGGCACAAACTTTCCTGGGGAGGCTGAGGAGTGTGATCACCCTATAGTTGGAACACACCCTCCGGTACCCCTTCTTGAAAAGAGGGACCACCACCCCGGTCTGCCAGTCCAGAGGCACTGTCCCCAACCACCATGTGATGTTGCAGAGGCGTGTCAGCCAAGACAGCTCCACAACATCCAGAGACTTAAGGTACTCAGGGCGGATCTCATCCACCCTTGGTTCCTTGCCACCGAGAAGCTTCTCAACTACCTCGGTGACTTCAGCTTGGGTAATGGACGAGTCTGCCTCCAAGCCCTCAGCCTCTGCCTCCTCACCGGAAGATGTGACGTTGAGGTTGAGGAGATCCTCAAAGTATTCCTTCCATCGTCCGACGATGTCCCCAGTCGAGGTCAACAACTGCCCACCTCCACTGTAAACAGTTTTGGCAGAGCACTGCTTCCCCCTCCTGAGGCACCGGACGGTTTGCCAGATGGTGCCAGGATGGTTTCATAGAGTAAGACACGAATACCAAACAGCTTGCTCCTCGGGAATATATAAAAAAATAACCAAAGTTGTTTTTTATTTCATGTTGATACATTCTTAGACAACACCACAGAATAGTTGCATGAGTGGCCAGATGTAAATATCTCCCACAACACTGGGACATAAGCAGCAAGGGCAACATGAATATACCTAGTACAAACAGTAGAAAACATACATGCTTCCTTTTTTTAAACAAGTATTTAGTTTTCTAAATATATATCCATATTTCTCTCCATTTCCCATAGTTTCCAGGAACGTAAGAAACCCGTCAAAGCCATATTCTGCTGTGTGAGAACATATCAGTGGAAGATAATGGTAAAGAAACATAGTAAATAAAAAAAAACAGTACAATTCAGAGCAGACAGGTGGAATCAACTGTTAGATTTTCATTATTCAAAACTTTTTTTCTGTTTCAACATCGAACATATCAGGCATGCATTGACGACCTCGACATCAACGCTGTTTGTTGTACCAGTAGTCCAGGAGGTCACCAGGTACTCGGCACAGAGCCAGCGCAGACTGTTGTCTTGGAGCCAGCTACAACACAGTTAAGGGTCGTCATCATCATCATCATCATACACCGACAAAATACTGGAGAAGTCATCATGTATGAGAGTGTGAAGAAGGAACATACGTCAGGATGGGATGCTTTCATCATGGGACCACAAACATTTCAAACAAGTCAAACAAAAAGGCTTTTACAAACACGCCCATTTATTTATCTATTTATTTAATGTTTTTATTTTATTTTTTTGGCTTTGCATTCACGGCCAGCTGAGGAATCCGATTTTTACCATGTCAGAAGACTGAAGTGAAGATTTCTGGACCCACAAATAACACAAAAGCATGCTTCGTCACGCTCTCATCCTTTTTGGCTGGCCATGAAAGTTCACAGCTTAAGATTTGTTACAAGTTTCTGAGAAAACAAGCGTCTTCAGATCTGACTCCCAGTCAGATAATCAGGAGAACACTGGAAAGGTCGAGGCAGTCTGGTTCTCTGGTTTAAGTTGGAGGTATGTGTGGGGCGAACAGGACAGGTGCATGCAGGTAACAACAACAGGAAGTTAGTTACTGTAGTTTGGCTGCTGGTGCGAGTGCTCACCGCCACAGCTGGGGCTGTGACACACAGCTCATAGCCCTGATAAAGGTACTCTAAAGCAACCTGGGCCCCGTTGCAGCGGTTATGTAAAATTGCACTTGCTCCTTCCTAAAGTCCGATGTCAGTCAAATAGGAGCACGGATAGGAACGATCGGGTTTGTATGAGGCGGAGTGCAGAGTGTCAGACTGAAAATAAATAATTAGACTGTATTTGTCAGCTTCATTTAGTTTAATCAGTCCTTACTGGAAGTAGTGTGATCAGAGCAAGAAGCAACTGAAAAAATCTCTTTAAAGGTTTAGTCGTCTTTTGTGACATTGAAGTGACAAAACTCAGATTCCAGGTGGCAGCGTGAGCAAAGCCCTCCACATCTCAAAGCAAAGAATATGGCTTTAATAAAAAACAATGTGCATTCAAGAAGCAAGACCAAAATAGATTCATCATCAACGTCATAATCATTGTTCAAAATAAAAACGAAAATCAACACAGAAGCCATAAAGAACTACACGTGGTGGAAAAACTTGCTGTTGGAAGTACATTAAGAGACGACTCCATACAAATCAGGCTGAGACGGCTGCTTTGTTTGACATCAACAGCAGACAGAACGCTGCTGACCATTCACAGCAACCCAGAGGCTGCAAGGCGTCTGCTCATGCACCCCGTGTTTGTTCTCCACACCACAAACAAAAGGATTCTGGGTTTTACATACTTTTTTTTTTACTTTCAGACCAGTTTCCCAACATCACCACGGCTCTTTTTTAAAAATGCTTAGCCGCCCTCGTCTCTGCTTTCTGGCTTCTTTCTCTCAGACACAATGAATATACCCAAATTCTTAGGTCAAAGAAAAGTCCCACAAGGCTCCACACCAGAATCTCAACGTCTGTGGTGGGCAATGAAGCACGAGACCAAAAAAGACAGAAAACTTAAAACACTCTTCTGCTCCTCGTCTTTTTGCTCCAGTTTCCTGTTTTAGACAGCAGGGCAGGAGACCAGACATCCCCTATCGTCATTACCATGTCTCTCGGTTTTTCTTCAGTCGTCGTGATGGAGGAATGCCATTAGATCACAAGGTCGTTGTAGCTCACATATTTCTTCTTTGCTGCTGGGCCTAAACAGGGAGAAAATGGACATAAGACAAAGATCAGCCTCAGTCTGATGTGGCTGCTAATAAAGATGAAGGTTAATGGTTACCATTATGACTGAAATGAATGAGAGAGGTAGATTAAATTATCCCAAAGTTTTTAAATAAGGCTCGAGTTATGAACTCTCAAGGATAGAGCAGTTTGAAGTCTTTGTATTGGCAGAGTTGACTGACTGCCTTTTTATTAAGAAAGTTGTCTCTTCTACTTTTATAATTCAGTTTTGTGTTGGATGTGAACTTTTGTAGGTGCTGAGAGGTCATAACTCAGAAGTGCAAGCATCTGTAGAAGAAGAACAAACAATGGAAATCCTGAGGTATGTATGTGAAAATAGCAGCTTTGGCAAAACAAGAACCAGGAACTGGCCTTTAGTTCAGTCTTCTTTTGTTAATGGCGCATCAACTCAGATTCCTCCAAATCTGATAACCCCAGTGACAGTGGGACAGGACATGGTGTCCCAGCTACACCCCCCTCCATGACCCTCTGCTGCCTACAGCCTCCTGTTGTTATTCCAGCTTCTCCACCCTGTGTTGTCAAAGTACGGTCTGTAAATCAGCCCCGCCTGCTGCTTAGCCAAGGTTAGAAGAAGGATTTTCCAGCCAGTAGTCATGTCAAACGGCCATGGAGGAGCTCTGGGCAGCTAAAAGTCTGAACCAGCAGCTGTCAGAGTGAAGAGGTGGCGTCTTTAGCACAGTTGAAAATAAACCCAAGACAAACTCTGCCTCCTTACCCTCAAGGTTGAATAGATATTAGCTACAGTAGGTTTTAAAACAATGAGCCTCATGCAAGAATATTTTCATGTTCTTATTCTAATCTTTTACCACTCATGATTATATGAGTGATGTTAGACAGGATGATAAACAGTCTACTTGGGATGTTGATTAAATGTGTAACTGACACACTAAAATAACAGCAGCTATAGCTACCTAATACCATTATATTGCTCCTTTTATTATTAATCAGAAAAATCTATTTTACTCAAAACAGGTGAAAGGTTCCTCCTATTAACCTGCTCATTGGATTGATAAAAACCTTTCTCAGTTTGATCAAGGTAACTAAAAAATAGTTACAAATCAAAAGAAAGCCAGAGTGCACTTACTGCATGTAGGCAACACAACACCTTAACGGGCCTCAGGCTGCTGCTCAGCTCACTGTATAAATGGCTGTTACACATTTGTCAGGTGTTATTGATGTCAATCCAGTGGACCAAGGTTAGTGCCAAAAAAAATCCCTTGGCCATATACTGCATACCGATGTGTGATGCAGTCTGGATAGAACAGCAGACCCTGTCAGGCTCACACAGCTGCTTTCTGTGTGCATAAGACAGTTTATGAGAAAGTTCAGTGGCACTTAAATATGCAGACTGTACCATGTTCTCTTTTATCTTTCTGGCATGATTGATGGCTTAAAGCCATTTGTCACTCGACGAACACTGAGGGCCAAGGGGTGCCAACACAGAAGCAGAGCTGCAGGGGGAGATAGGGAAGTGGTCATAACTAAAGGGACGCCATGGATGACCCCTATATCCAGTCTGAAGCTAGCATTAGCTGGCTAACAGTAAATGTGTCAGTCCAGTAAAATGCTCTGGTTACTGCTGACGTTACACAAATCTGCAGTTCCTCACAAATTAAAATCATATTAGCTCTTATCAAAGGTAAAATCCTGACCATGCTAGGTGGCTAATGCTACCAAAACAAACAGGTTAGCTTTAGATGCTAACACACCCAGAAGGAAGAAGGCCACATTTGAATCCAGTCTGAGTCCTCTGGCTGCTTTTAACCCTCTCCATGTCAAACAGCCAAACCCGTGTTATCCCTGGTTGTTGCTCTTTCTTTGTCCCACTCTCTCTGTGCATGGGAGACACCACGTCCTGTCCCACTGTCAGAGGGGTTAGCAGACTGTGGGGGAATCTGAGTTAACACACCAGTAAGGCATCTTCCTGTCATGTGGACTTTCTGAATACTTTTTGTGCCCACTTTGCAATCTCTCGGCTCTAATATTTGTCAGGTAAAAACAATGAAGGTATTGGATTAAAAAATGAATTTCAGGTCAATTATTTCTTTAAATCTCCACATTCATTCCCAAATATAAGATGTCAAAAGTGAGTTAGGTATATTAAAATGATAGAAAGACTAATCCCCAGAGAAACCAATGTATTTCACTTCTGCAGGCAGCCAGGGCAATGCCATGAGAGGAAAGTACTACTTGTAGGGATTCTTTCTGAGAGCAGCCAGGGCTATATGAGTTTCAAGAGATATGAAACCCTTTGTTGAATAAGGAATCAGCTTTTCGAGAAAGGCAGAGAGGCCTTATAGGAGTCGAATCAGAAAGATTTAGTCTTTGAAGAGCAGAAAAATGATGAGAGATAGAAGTCTTTGTTTTCAGGGAATCAGCTGTTGGAGCACAGAGCATGAAGACAGAGAGGGCCATAAGTGAAGGGAAGAAGAGATGAAGCTATCTGAAGTGGCTGAGGGGCTATTACAGTGCTATGAAAGCGACAGGGAGGAGGCGAGGCGGGAGGCAACAGCAGCAGCAGCTGAGGAGGAGGCGAGAGAGTGAGATTGAAAATCGAGTGAGGGGAAAACCAGTAAACCTCGGCTGAGTGAGAACATGTAAGAGGGAGAAAAATGGGGTGAGGAATGAGGTGGGAGTCGTGCAAGTGCATGGTCCCAGGCCAACAGATGGCTCTGCTGGTCCTTCGGGGAGTCCTGACTGCGGTGCACTCTGCCAGCATGGCTCCACTGCTGCTCTGTCCTCTCTACCATGAACTGGCTCTAAAGATTAAAACAGGCTGGGCTCCAAAGCCGCTGCAATGTCGATAACACACCAGGAAAAGTCCCCCACCGCATGTTAACAAACAGCACTGACTGAGCAGCCGTGATCATCAATATCTTACCAGTGGGGCTGCAGCATTTATACGAACAGCAGCGGTAGGTATGGTGTAAAGTACATGCTAACAACACAGTAGAAGGTGCTCACGGCCTTTCTAAACAAGCTGTTCCCCATTGGCTGTGGACAAGTTAGGCTAAACCTTCTACCAACTGAACCCTGAACCCTCCTGACAAAGAACTCCTGCTCCCATGTTCGTCATCATTAGGGAGATTATTTAGCTGTTTGTTTTTTCACTTATTTTCATACATACAACAACAAAAACTACCTGAAAGTATATATTATAAAAGAAAAAACATTTTTTTAAATTGCTTTTTACTGTGGTACAATTCACTTTGTATGGTACAATGCACTGCCAGTAGAGGGCGCCATATGCTAGGGCTAATTTAAACCTGCTGCACAAATGATTAAGATGAGGGTTGGTACGATGACATGTCTACCATTCAAACATTTTGAATGTAATCTAATGGCTTAGTCTGCTAAGTAGTACATATTATTTACCTTTTACTTAGGAATTTAATGTAGGCTGAGTAGGTTTCAGGGGCTATACACATAATTTTCACTTAAAAAGTAGTAGTGTTTAGATGCAGAAGCTGTAGTCTCCCAGAAAAAGTGGGGACATAGCAACCAGACCAGAAATATGAAAGCGGAAGTGAGTTGTACCAGACGCAGCAAAAAAAGCTATTTTTTAAAATGTTTATATATGAGAAATGTATGTTTACACAGAAGACCCAACTCACTACCAACCAGTAACCTGCCTTTCCACAACATTGAAGGTCCTATCAGGCACCATAGCTACCAAGCTACAGGTCCACATCAACCAGTACATGAGCACAGCTCAGAAGGGCATCGGGAACAACACCAGAGGCTCAAAACACCAGCTGCTGATAGAGAGAGCACTCACCAGTGACTCAAAAGCCAGACAGACCATCCTGAGTTGGAACAAATTTTCTGGGCCTCGCCCCATGGTAGCTGCTTGTGCAAAATTCACAGAGGACTATGTCGGTGCATTTGTCCTCCCAGTAGTGTTGAATAGGGGGTTTTCCAGCATACTACATGCACAGTTTATGTCCAGATGAGTGCATGAGCAGTCAAAACCTGAGGGCTTGGGGTCAGAAACAGCAGCGCCTGAAACAGCAGCACCAGAAACCGCCCGGAAATCTTCTTCCCAAATAGCCCTATTACACTCTGCTTTCCCTCCTCATGTAAAAGTTATGAGTCAGTTGAAAGATGGTGATAAGGAGCTGTGGACGTACACTTAACATTCCTTCCACACTCTCAGTAAAATATATTCCCCTCATCTCTCTCTTCCCCCTCTCCTCCAACCCCCAGAAGAAAATGGATCAAGGTCAGGACAGCAAAGCAGAGAGAGAAGATTAATTTGCTCTTACCTCTGATAAATTATGAAATTAGCCTGTCAGGGGAGAAAAACATTATTTGGTGAGTTGTCCCAGAGAGCCCCAGAGGGAACCTTACAGCAAGGTGGTAATTTGATCAGACTGCCATGTAATTTCAATTTGTGCACTTTTTGTTTCTGGGATTTTTTCCTATCATAGTTCTCTACAGTTTCCTGAGGATCAGAAGTGTGAGTCTGTACACTGCATCACAGGCTTTGCGATGGTAGGCGTTAGGAAAAGACTGGGCTGAACATAACAGTTGAATATCTGGGCTTATGGAAACTAAATGTACAAGGAGTTTGGACTCAACTGGACTTAGACGTGTCATATTACATTTGATGTGGTGCTGGTTGAAATCAAAGCACCACTGGTTCTAATGCAGCCAGCCTCCATCTCCAACACATCGACAACGTGAATTGAATTTGCTCAAATTAAAACTAAAGATTTTCAGGAGTTCTCACTGTCTATGAACATGAACATATGACTGAGTGTGTCCCATAATTATCCTCCAGAGGAGGAGCCGCTTCCAGATGTGGGTTATGTTCTACTAGTTTACTTCCCAGTTACATTTTGTTAGGAAATGTAACTGCTGTCTGGATATCTTAACTTCTAGTGAATGGAGCACTACATTCATTTGGCGCCAGGACAATGACTTTAGTCCTTGGCACTGAAAAATAAAGCTTGGCATTGAAAACAGAACTGTAATGGCAAAAAACAAAACCGTATTTGAAAAAGCAAACACTGGAATTGAAGTATTTGTATAAAAAAAAAAAAAAAAGGTGTTAATACTGGTAATACTGGTACTGGTTATTTTTTGTTAACCCTAGTCTTTTTCAGTGCCAAAGTTTGTTTCTGTGGCAATCTTCTGCTTTTTTGTTGATGCCAGTGTTTTTCACTTCTCTGTCAGGGTTTTGGCATGGCGGGGAGGGCTTTAAGGGGCGGGGCTAAGGGGAGTGTGATCTGCATACTCAGGTTGAGATCCATGAGGAGGGGACCACCCTCTCCCCTGAGCCGCTGCTTGCACTGAGGCAACTGTCTGCCGAGCACAGCTGCATATGGGGACTGATTTGTCCTTTATTGTGTTTATTCATAAACGAAAGTTTGCATGCATTTGAAAGTGGGTATCACTGAGTGTTAAGGGTTTTTCTAGGGTCTAAAACCCTTTCACAACATTCAGAGGTGTAAAATTATAGAAAATGTCTCATCTCCCTTTACTGTTAAACCAGAAGCCAACTTCAGCTTCCCTGAGTTCACCAGAAGCTCTCAGACCACCTCTTTCACTTTATAGACATTTTTCCACTCCACACAGACCTAAAATTCATTAGCCCCGTTCCACATGGTGTCAGCTAACATCACTGTGTGGGAGACAGTCCCAAAAGAGCCCTATAGCCTACCTGTAGCTAACATTAGTTATATAAACTATAGCTTACCTGTAGTTAACATTAGCTATATCCTACCTGTAGCTAACATTAGCACTTGCTGCAGCAGACCTCTGCCACAGCAGCACAACGCTGGTTCAAAGTGAGCTTTAACGTAACTCGGTTCTGTGAGCACAGACGCCAGCAGAGACAAACACAGCTCCAGCTGAATTTGCGGAGGCCGCCATGCTCAGCAGACAGAAGACTCAATGTGGACGGCAGCTCAGGGGAAAGGGCATCCTCTCCTCATGGATCTCTATAATAAACACAGGCAGTGGATACCACTGAGCACACAGGTTAATTAACGCTCCTCATTCTGTTGATCGATTCAGGCAGTCTTACGTTGCTCCCAAAACCTGTTTGCAGGTGTAAATTAGTTGCATAGGCACATTATTCCAAGAAGGGACAAAGTTGCAGGAGCAACTATTCAAATACACACCAAAAGCAACTGTATAAAATAAACAGGGAGCCTCTTGTTTTTAAAGAACTAGTTCAGCATGTTGGGAAATCTTTTGCTTCTCTTTCTATCTCTGTCTTCAAGCTGCAGAATATTTGCAAAATGCCAAACTATTCCTTTAAAGGAATGTGGGTGTGGGGAGCGTTAAAGACACATCCTAAGCTGGACTCAGCAGGTCGCCTCCCAGGACAAAGACACAACAACAACCAGTAGTTTAGACTGGTTGTCAGCGAGTTCTCCTAACAGGTGCAGCAGAAGACCCACTACTACAGTGAAGTCCATTCAGTCCAGGAGGTGGGATAAGCATATGGTTGGAGGACTACAGTAATAACTTGATGTGTTGTGCTGCTGTTGATTTCTGGCCCAGTGTTACAATTCATTTAACACATTTAATGCTCTATATGAGCCATGCTGAAGAGTTAGTACACATTATGTTCTGGTCAGTACTTACTGTTGGGGTCGACGTTCTCACACAGCTCTGTCTTAGCCTCTCCGTTGGGCCGGTCGCTGGCCTTGTGGGAGAGTCGGGACGACATTGTGGCGGCTGTGACGACAGCTTTGAAGGAACGTTTCCTCTTCTGCACATTGAGCTCTGGGTGGAAAATGATGACGTAGACTTTGGGCATGTAGAGCATCCCGAGGGCCACAGAGGCGCTAAGGTTCATGGAGATGGTCAGTGTGGTCATCTGGATGTACAGCTGGGGGGAGATGGGGAGAATAAAGTGGAGTGAGGGAAAGTGGTTTCACATGTGGACAAAACCAGTAAAGTGGTTCTTTCATAAATGGACACTGAGCTATGAGAGGAGAGCAAGTCGAAGGTGCTAATTTGGTCTCAGGTCTGATGTTTCCAACTGAATCTGTCTATTCCAACAGCATTTTCTCCTTTTGAACTCGACAAAGGGAACTGAAAAAAAAACTTAGAAAAAATTAACTGGACTAGATTTCTAGGTCGAAGACGTTTCACCTCTCATCCAAGAGGCTTCATCAGTTCTGACTGACTGGTGTTGAGCTGGAGATATTTATCCCCCTCGGTGGTGTTTCAGTCCTTAGAAGGCCAACAATGTCCCTTAACGACTGAGTCTTATAGCCCAGTATCGGTGAGAGTCGTTACCTGTCTTTGAATCCTCCCCTGTTGACCGACGTCTGGGGGTTTTTCAGTTCACTAAATGTAACGTCCTCAAAGAAAGCTAACTGGGTCCAGTGAAGCAGCTACCCGATCTGTAGCTTCAACAATGTGACCTCAACCAAAGTGGAACTGCTTTGTGTGTTTGCAGTAGGAACACACTGAGAGTGTCCCTTCTTCATCCTGCTGGATCTCTGGCCCATACTCACCAGTCAACAAATACAGCATGAACTGATAAGTCAGTGATAAGCTGATACTGGGTGATGCTAACTAGCATGTATAGGCTCAATTTCTCTTATTAAGCCTCTTCCGGCTCTTTCAAACCAGGAACTCACAAAGATGAAGTAGACCACTTGGATTATATAAAAAATAACCGTGCTGGTTTATTCAGAGGATCACAGGCAAAATTAACATCACACGTCCAGATCTCTCCCACCACCAAACCTGCACGCAGGCAGCATGGAGATGAAAGACCCTGAACCCAAGAACCTATACAATTTTAATCACTTGGTTGGGATAGCCCATTCTACCCAGGCACGTCAAACTGTGACGTCACCTGATATGCCAGCTTGCAGCTGACCATAACAATAGTCAAAACATGAGGAAAGTCAAGGTGTGTGGCTGTTGATTAGTGGTGTGTATCTAGAACATTTTGACATGACATTTCACATAAGAAAATATTATCCTTACCATTACAGTTAATAATAACAATCACCTCCTGCCTGCAGCCTTTGTCTTATTTAATTAACCTTGGCCTCGATGCAGTCTGCAGAGCTCATGACAATGACTAAACATTTAACAGCCTGAGCTAGACATCCTGGCTACACTAAACATTTCTAGACAACAAATCTCTAAATATCTATCTGACTAAGAAATTACCTAACACATGTTAATGTTAGAAAGCTATCTAATCTACTGAAACATAACTTGGACTGGGTTCTTACTGACTTTAGTGCTTGTGGAGCTCTCTTTGGCCTGTTCCCATGAATGTTAGGTTTAACATGAAGTACTATACCTTCAGATGTGAAAATGATCATTTTGCACGTGAAGTGTCCAGAAACCACTTTATCATGTGAGGCACCGGCACAAATGTGATGAAGTCCCACTCACTGTGATTCCATCTCTGCAATATATTTTCCTATTGGACCCATTTCGAACTAAATCCTCAGACCCTGCTGTCACTCCTCTCCGTCCCTGTAGACAATATGCAGATGCTTGGAACCAGCAGGGGCCCTGCTCGGACTCACGGCTGCGATGACGTCAGGCGTCATTAAAGAGCAATTATGAGCGAGCAGCCACAGTGAACAACATCATGTAAAAGGCAGCAGGGAGTGAAATAGTCCGCATCTTCTGCTTGTTTAGGTGCTTAAACAAGCCTGAACATTTAACACATCAACTCAGATCCCATGGTGCAGTGCAGCTCCAGCTCTGCAACGCTGCTTCACATTGGTGAAATGAAGCAGCCGCTTCACAAACGCATGGCCCAACACAGGAGGGCCAACTCCAGTGGACCAGAGTCAGCAGTCCACCTCCACCAGAAGGAGAAAGGACATTCTTTTGAGGACAGTGAAGTCCAGATCCTCTCCAGAGAACATCGCTGGTTTGAGAGAGGAGTTAAGGAAGCTATTTTTGTAAAAATAGAACACCCCTCACTAAATAGGGGTGGTGGACTAAGACACAACTTGTCTTCCATCTACAATCCTGTTTTGAGATCTCTGCCCAAACATGCCCACCAGGACAATAGGCATCGGTTGACAGGTAACGACTCTCACCGATACCGGGCTGCAACGACTCAGTCGTTAAGGGACATTGTTGGCCTTCAAAGGACTGAAACACCACCGAGGGGGATAAATATCTCCGGCTCAACACCAGTCAGTCAGAACTGATGAAGCCTCTTGGATGAGAGGTGAAACGTCTTCCACCTAGAAATCTAGTCCAGTTGAATTTTGAAGTTTTTTCAGTTTACTATGACCTGGATGACTGAGAATCTGCACAGACAACTCAACAAAGGTTTACAGTGGGCTGATACTGCATCCCTCTGAGCTGCTAGAGAACACTGGACATCTCTGAACCTGCAAATAAATATGGAAACTGAATCCAAAGACATACCGCAACTTCCAGGCCAAACTGGAGGCAGAACTTTTACTGTAAATAATATGTCTGTTTTTTAAGTCGAGAGCTGCCGGAAAAAATTTCGTTGTGCTATGCATAATGACAATAAAGATTCTGGACTTGACTTTTACCTGTCTCTCAGCTTTCGGCAGCCCTGTGGTATGACAGTACAATCAGTAATGTGTTGGCGAACCCTCAGAGTGCAGCACCATGTCACCTGCCCCTGTCATGTGGTATCATCTCGTCATAAATCAGATTGATGTATTTAGTTAAGTTCACTGCAGCACAAGGTGCCCATATGGGCTTGTAACATGCTTGACAGTTATCAGCTGGTAGAGTCACACCAGCAAATTAAATAACAAGTATGTACCATTATGACACATACAGAATTCTCCTAATTGCCAGGCATTTTCAATAAATCCATCAAAAAACAAAACTCTTCTCCTTAAAAAGCCAAAGCAGCATGAGACCTTCAGCCAAAACAAATCAAAAATTTTTAACTGTTTTTTTTCCAAATGGGAAAGTGGAACATAACATGGAACTCTTCAGCCAGTACACGATCACAACCAGCATCAGTGCTGCTCCTCAGGAAGGCTTTTAGTATGTCGGCCTACTTCCACTGCCAGTTCTTAACTGGGCTCACAATGACCTAGTGCCGCTCTCGCTCTTCATTCACAAGCTAACTAGCTCAACCACCGCTGCTCGCCCTCTCTTAGCGGAGTAGATGTAGAACACAGGCAGTGAAATTGTGACAAAAGGTAAAAAGTACAGCTGTTAGGTATAGTTCTGATCCCTTTGTTTCCACCAACAAGGCACTGAATAAAACAGAACTAGACAGTCAACAGGCCTGAGCTGCAGTTGTATGGAGTGTCCTTTGTTAGCCACCATGTTGGAAGGGTTTTTTTGGCCCTGCAGGGCTCTGTGTCTGTCACATGACTGAAAATAATGTAATGTGCCCTATCTAACCCTATCTCACAATGGGGACCAGTCCTTTTAAAAAACTCCTGGATCCAGATGATGGTCCACATCAGCACCAAGACCCAATCGATTTTTCCAGGCCATACCCAACCTCTGGAGAAAGTTTCATCCAAATCCCATTCATTATTTTCAGTTGCACTCTGAACAAACAAAGCAACAAACTAGGGACACGCCAAAACCACCTTTCAGACCAAGTGTGAGTAATTACATTTGAGTACTCGCAATACAGAGTACTTAATGATGCTATGTTTCTACTATAAAAGAAAAACAAACTACAATTACCATAAAAGTGCAGTGGCACACACGCGAGAAGCTGGGGCCGCAGTTGGCTTTACTTTTGTTGTTGTCACTTATCTTAAAATATCTCCGAACCGCTGAGATTCAACGAGTGGCTCAACCAGCGTGAGGTCAATGTAATGCTGCAGTTAACTGGTATCGGTGGGACAATTTTTACGAGTATGAGAAGAGTACTAGAGGGCACTATCGGACTCAATCCCCGATACTGGTATCGGTATCAGTGCATTCCTACAACAAACACTGTAAGAAATATTACCTCCACCCTCAGCGGAGGTAAATAAAGCTGCATTAATGCATGTGGGAGGAGACTGTGTTCACGGCCATGTGGTCCCAGTGAGAGCACCAGTGTGATTGAAGAAAAAAATAAAAGTGTGGACAAAAGACATGTTCTAAAAATGGATCAATAGGTGTCAGTGTGTCACCATGTGAACAACTGACTATTATCCTGTCTCCATCAGGGCCTTATTTAAACTGACACAGTCCATTTCTTGATATCCTGCTAAATAAAAGAACCTGGGCTGTTTGCTAGACAACCACCCTCCAGACTCGTTATGAGCCGGTGAAGGATTGGTTGTTAATATCCTGTGTTTCTTGACCCTCACCACCAGCAGCAGACAGCAGGGCCACTGCATAAATGTTTTATGTGCTGTGTATATTGCACTTGCATCTGAAGCCATGGCCCCATGAACGCGGCAGAGGGCTAATATCGGCCGGATGAATGCTTAAAGAGCCCCGGCCCTGCTGTAATGGACTTCCCAGAGTGGCGTTCATAGAGTTCAGCCCCACTCTCTTTATGTGTTATGTTCCATCTGTCGCAGTCTGATGTATGCCCTTTACAGGGAGAAGTCGCACAGGAGGCTGAGGGGGCAGGGGCTGGAAGACTGCAACAACCCAGCACAAAGGCTTGGATGTCTTCTCTCTTGGTGTCCGTGCATGTTTCGGTAAATGTGTTAAATTAAGATGAAACGAAAAACCTGTTTCACCGGCCGAGGACTTTTAGTGATCGACTGGCAAAAAACACCCAGGAATAGCCGGAACATTTATATATCACTAATATCCACAGTGCACTTCACATAAGTCAAGAGTCAAGTCAAGAATCTTTATTGTCATTATGCATAGCACAACGAAATTTTGTCCGGCAGCTCTCGGCTTAAAAGACAGACATATTATTTCCATAACACACAGTTG